ACATTGATTCCGTTTGAAGCATCGGTAGTGTTTTGAAGTTCTGTGAACTAAGGGGGCTATAAAAATAGGCTCCAAACACGGGAAACTATTCACAGCAGGCCGAAAACAAAAGCCAACCTGAGCTGCCTCACGGTAGTGCGTGCAGTCACCTGCAGGAGACGTGGCTAACCATGGGGTCTAACAGTTTAGGACAGTTTTAGTACAGTGGAAGGTTTCCCTGCCAGAAAAGTCTCCTTGTGAACAGAGTAGGAAAAAAATCCTGTTCATGCTCTTGATTCATTAAAAAGAAGCCGTTTACTCACTCTATATCAAATTTTTTAACTGACTCTACAATGAAAATAGAAAAGTCCAATTAAATTGTTATTTTAATTAAAAGAGGAACTTTTAAAGTTGTGATTCGCCATGAAGTCTTTTATAGAAATATATTTACTTTAATTCAGGGTAAAGCAAAAAATTTAAATTTTTTATTAAAATAGCTTTTATTAACAGTGGCTTTCTAAATTAATATATATCAATAGTATCCTTATAGAGTTCAAATAATAGCTATTAAAAATCTATTTTTAATTTATTTAAAGTTTCCTGTACTAACATTTATATTTCCTATATTGTATCTTTTTTTAGTGTATAAATTTTAACTTAATTTTTTATATTTCTTTTATGTGTTGTTTGAATCTTCAAGCATAATTGAAGCTCATTAACTTTTTGTTTCTATAAAAAATTTTGTTATTTAAACTAACGAAGTAATAGATGTGTGGTAGCAAGACTATTGGCCTAGGCATAAGAAGACCTGAATTCTAATTCTGAGATTATTTTTCTTTGTTTTATCAATAAGTCACTTAGTCTTTCCGCGAGCCTCAGTTTTCCATCCATAAAAGTGCATAATGAAAGCTCTGATCCAAACAAAATAGAGTAGACTTGTTTCTCCTTACTTTTCCCTGTTAAGCACAACTATAAAACCCAGAACTAACACAAGAGACAGTCAGGAGAACTTTGAAAGATAGGAAGAGAAAGACGATCTGGTGCAGGACCCAGGCTGACAGAACACAACAGCAAGATGTCTTACAATCCTCCCACCCAGCCAAATAAGGGGATCCTGGCCTGTTGTTTCTCAGTCTCCATCCAGCCTAGCAACATAGTGTGGCAACACCTGTGGCCCAGGTAGGTTCATTCTTCCTGTGAATCGAATGGGAATCCTGCCTACAATACCAGTTTTACAAGCCCAGCAAAACTGTCAGAAATGATTGGAAGCCCTACTGACAATAATTGGCCCCCAAGGGAGTGCTTTCCCCCTTTCCATGATCAGGAGATGAGGGCAGGGGAGGAGTACATCATAGCCTGTCCTGGGAAGCAGTCTTTATCTGTAAAGGTCAGAGGCTCCCTTCTCCACCAAAGGCATACCAGGTAGCCTAGCCATAGGAAATTCTTCCCATTCCTTCAGGCAATACTGGCTGAGAGCCAGCTAAATTCCACCTCAAGAATTTAGAAAAAGAAGAGCAAAATTAACTCAAGACCACAAACCGCAAAACTCAACCATGATAAAATAGATGACATGAATAGTCTTATAGCCATTAAATAAGTTGAATTCCTAATTTAAAATCTCCTGAGAAAGTAATCTCCAGGCCCAGATGATTTTACCAGAGAATTCAAAGAATTAACACTAATTTTACAGTTTCTTCCAGAAAACAAAAGAAGGAAACACTTCTCAACTGATTTTATAAGGCCTGATGCCCAAACAAGACAAAGACAGTACAGAAAAGGAAAAGTAAGCTGCAGAAACCATTATTTTTCATGAACTTAGATGAAAAATCCCCAACCAAATGTTAGCAAATCCAAAAATATATAGAAAAGAAATATTTAAAAAGTGGGCTTTATTCCAGATACAGAAAGCTGGTTCAATAGTGACTATCAGTCAGTGTAATCTACCATATCAACAGGCAAAAAAAAAAAAGTGAGATATTTTGTGTTTTTTAGCACATACCAAAAAAACTGACAAAATCCAATATCCGTTCATAATTAAAAACTCGAGTTAGGAATAGAAGTGTATTATTTCACCAAAAAGAGCATCTACAACAAACAGCTAACATATTTACAGTGAAAGGCTGAAAGTTTCCCCTCTGAGATATCAAGAACAAGGCACTCTCATCCCTGCTATTCAATACAACACTGGAAGTTCTAGCCACTGCAATAAGGCAAGAAAGAAAAATAGAAGGGCCTATAGATTGGAAAAGAAGTTATGAAAGTGTCCCTATTCACTGATGACCTGATTGTCTATGTACAAACTCCTAGAACCAATAAGTGAGTTTAGTAAGGTCTAAGGTTGCAGGATCAATGCACAAAAATTAGTCACATTTCTATATACTACCAATGAACTTGTGGAAACCCAAATTTAAAAGAATACTATTTATAATCTCTACAAAGAAAATTAAATACTTAGGTATAAACTTAACAAAACAGGTACAGAATCTGTATGCTAAAAATTACAAAATACTGATGAAAGAAATCAAAAAAGACCTAAATAAATGAGAGATATGCCATTTTCGTGTATTGAAGGATCCAATATAGTAAAGATGTCAGCTCTTCCCTAATTGATCTCTAGATTTAAAGTATTTCCTATCAAAATCCCAGTAAGGTTTTTTGTAGGCTTAGACAAACTTATTTTAAAATTTACATAGAAAATCACAGGCCCTAGAAGCTAAAACAATCTTTAAAAAGAAGCATAAAGTGGGGGAAATTATTTAACCCCATATGAAGGCCTACTGTATAGCTGTGGTAATCAAGATAGTGCGGTATTGGTGGAAGGGTAAACATAAATAAATGGGACAGAGTAAAGAATCCCAAAATAGACCCATACAAATATGGCCAACTGGTATTTAACAAAGGTACAAAAGATTCCTCAGAGAGAATTTTCAGCAAATAATGTTGGAACATTTGGACACACACACGCACAAATCTTTTTCTAAACCTTGTTATAGAAAAATTAAAATGGATCACCAACTTAAATGTAAAACTATAAACCTAGGAAAAAAATATAGGAAAAAAATTTGGAACTAAGAGTCAACAAAGAGTTCTTAGACTTGATACCAAAAGCATGACCCATAAAAGGAAAAATTGATAAATTAGACCTTGTCAACATTAAAAACTTTTGCTCTGGAAGGATCTTATTAAAAGGATTAAAAAAAACCAGCTGCAGACAGGGAGAAAATATTTTCAAACCACATATCCCACAAAGGACTAATAATGTCTTGAATATATAAAGAACTCCAAAAACTCAACAGTAAATAAAACAATCCAATTAGAAAGGGCAAAAGACATGAACAGACATTTGACTAAAGAGAATATACAGATGAAAAGCACATGAAAAGATGTTCAATATCATTAGCTATTAGAGAAATGTAAATTAAAATCACAGTGAAATAGCACTATACAACTATCAGAATGGATGAAGTTAAAAATAGAACAACAAATGCTGGCAAGGATGGAGAGAAATGTATGAATCACTCATACATTGCTGGTAGGAATATAGACTAGTACAATCACTCTGGAAAACAGTTTAATTAAACTAAACATTCAACTTCTGTGACTCAGTAACTGTAGTTTGGGGCATTTAACCCAAAGAAATGACAGTTTAGGTTCACACCAAAACCTGTACATGAACATTTATAGCAATATATTCATAATAACCAAAAACTGGAAACACTCCAGAAGTCTTTCAACAGAAAAATGGTTAAACAAACTGGTATGTCTGTACCATGAAATATTACTCAGCGAAAAAAGAGAATGAATTATTGATGCAAACAACAACTTAGAAAAGTCAGTTTCAAAAAAATTGCATACTATGTGCGATTCCATTTATATAGCATTTTTGAAATGACAAGATTATAGAAATAGAAAACAGGTTAGTGTGTTTGCCAAGGAGTCCGAAATGGAAAGGGGACCACAGGAGGTGGGTGTGGCTATAAAAGGGGACTGGGGATCCTTGTGGCCATGGAATTGTTCTGTATCTTGACTGTATCAATGTAAGTAACCTGACTGTGCTGTAGTTTTACAAAGTGTTGCCATTGGAGGAAACAAAGGGCACACAGGATCTCAGTTTATTTTTTACAATGTGTATGAAGCTACATTTCAAAACTGAAAGTTGTTTTTTTTAATAAAGAAGCATAATAATACCTGCCCTTCCTGTGCCAGAGTCATTGGAAATATGAAAGGAGGTGCAGCCTGGGACAGTCTTGTCACAGTGGGTGCATGTGGTAGCAGTGAGCCATACCTAACCATATGTTTATTTTAATGTATCTATTCAGCATTTCTAGTCTACCTTATCCAAAAAGTATATACAATAGTTGTTAGGTATTATTATCTTTAATAAAATTTATTTAGCAGATATTTTTTGAGGGCTTTCTTAGTGCTGATTACCATACTAGGAATAAAAAAATTGGAAAAGAAGTGTGAAGAACTGAGCTCAGCCCAACACTTTCATTTCAGATGTGAACATAGTTGATCATAGGATGGATATAGAGCTGGTATTTGTTTTGAAAGCTTTGTTTGTATTGTAAAATAATATTAATTCTATATATTAAGTTTCAAGAGACTCAAAAGTTCTACTGTTTGGTTAGCTGGTAAACTTGGTTTTCAATAACTAAGACACTTTTCTACATTTTAGAATCAATTTAGAATGCATCTTACAATCAACGTTGATTCTTAGTTTAACTGGTGTCATTTTTCTTTCTTGATATGTAAAATAATGATTCATCTTAGTGGTATCTTAGGCTTACTGACATGTGGAAATGTCTAAAACCAACTATTTTTGTAGTTTTCATCTGAATATTTTATCTATCCTCATTTTATTAAACATTTTTGGGGAGAGGCATTATTTTTTTTAGAAGACCTGTTAACAATTTGAGAGTCTGTTGATAAATTCTGTGACATTCCATGGCAATAATATATAACTTATATTATGTTGAAACCTCATTTCCCCTCATCTTTTTTTTTCTTTGTTTTTCAAGTGTCAATATACAGTATCTGGTTTTATGACAAGAATGACTGTCACCGCATAGCCAAACTCATGGCCGAGTAAGTATTTGTGTTACCCTATAGATTTATTTTTCATGAGTGATACATGAGAGATGAAAAATGACTTTCCTACTTACTTTTCCTTGTTACTGGTGTGTACTAACACGTGTATTTACCCCAATTTCCTGTTTGTTGTCAAAATTTGAAAAAGGCAGAAAAGCCTAAAGAAATCTAAATTATTTATAATTCTCTTTCCACTCCAAGTGTGCATTAGCCTTTTAGTTTGTTTTTTTCCAGTCTTTTTCTTTATGTGTACGTTAGGTTGACGTGTTTGATGGTTTCTTAGAATAACAGTATCATATATACATTCTACTTTTTGTGTCAACAGCATTTTTACAGAGCATTAAATAATCCTCTGCAGTATTTCTAATGACTGCATTGTATCCAGTCCTACAGAAAGATCATACTTTAACCAGGACCTTACTGTTAAACATGTGATTAGTGCCATCAGACTGCCTAGCTCCAGAGGATATCATTTAAATGTAGTGCACAGCCTAACCACCATATGCAGTGCATCTGATTTAGGTTCTATCCAGATTTCCACTATAACAAGTGGTAGGTACTATGTTCAATAGCCAATGGAGAATTCCTATACACATCTATGTTTACTTCCTTTAAGTGAACTTATTTTTGACATAGATTCTAGGTTTAGTAGTCCCCAATCCATTAATGGGTTGTGTATCAGGATATTTTTTGTAAGTCAGAATCTTGGAATTTGGAAAAAATTTTTCATTGAATTAACATTCTGAAGGGTGGCTCTTTTCCTTTCTCAAGCTAGCCTGCAGAAGCCACCTCTCATGTGGCTTATCTGTATTGCTGGTACTGTCAGCCTGGATTCTGGGAGCTCAAGACATTATGGTGCAAGGGGAGTCCTAAGATGCTACAGAGCTCTGGGCAGAATGCTACAGTGGATAGTGTATTCTGGTGCACTTATATTTCCTTTTCACTTTTTTCCCGAATATTATCAGAAATGTAGACCTCTCTTCTCCCTCTGTCAAGATTCCCTTTGCTCTCCTGCAAGATTTTTATCTATATGTTTAGGAGAAAAGACTCTTAATTGTTTAAAACAGTCTTATTTTAAAACTAATTCTTGTAAAAATGTAAATAAATCATCTGACCTCAAAACCTCAGTTCCAGGTATGTTTTCATTTTAAAAGACGCTCACATGGCTAAGGTTTTTAATCCAGGACTGGTAACATGTCCTGATTGGATGTTTATCAGGTCCCTGCTTTGCTTGCTCTGGCTGTGAGCTCACAGGGCAGGGCATGTTTATTACCGTGTGCACCCAGAGGACATTGTTCCTTATGAGCTTGTGTCACTTATATTTAAAATGTATTGGCTCTCTAGAACCACACTTTTTTAGAACATCTTTTCTCTAAAGAAAGATAAAAACTACTTTTTTACAAAGCCATTTATTCGACGACTACTTTTTGTAATTTTGAAAGTGGCAGCTTCTATTTACTAAGAAGACAGATTTTTTAATTGTCAGTTTTTGAAATCCAGATTTTTTTTGAGTATCTAAAATTTGGACTATATTAATACAGTTGACCCTCGAACAACACAGGTTTGAACAGTTTGGGTCTACTTGTACATGCATTTTTTTCGGTAAATACTTCAGTATTGTAAATGTATTTTCTCTTCCTTATGATTTTCTCAATAACATTTTCTTTTCTCTAGCTTACAAAATACAAAATAGATGTCCCTAGACTATGTTATCAGTAAGGCTTCTAGTCAACAGTACTAGTTAAGTTTTGAAGGAGTCAAAGGGTATATGCAGATTTTCAACGTTAGGGGGAATCAGCAACACACACACACACACACACCATTGTTCAAAGGTCTGTTGTATGTACACTTTCTCCTGAAGGTTGAGAGATTTCGGGGCCCTTAGAGAGTATGGCTTTTTTTTTTGTTTGTTTTGTTTTGTTTTGTTTTGTTTTTTGTTGAGCTCTAACAGCTATTCACAGGGAACAGGAAACCATTTTGAACTTTTTTTCTCCATCAGAGCAAGTGTACCTTTAGTATGCAAAACTTCAGATGGTAAACAAAGCTGAAGACTAAGGGCCTATTTGAAAATATTGTATTGAACTCAAAAATGGGAAGAGGAGGTAGAAGTAGGAAGCAGAGTGGGAAAAGAAAAGCATTCAGGGTTCTTTCACTAGAAATGCCCAAAAGAAGGACATTTGCTTAAGCTTTCAGCTTGTTATACTTGAAGCAGGGGAGGTATTGAAAGTGATTAAAGAATGCCCTCATGAAACTGTTGATAGTGAGTTTTCAAGTGTCTGGCCTATTTATGGCTAAAGAGAATACCTTATATGTTAACATTAACTTAGTGATAAATGGCACTAAGATAAAAAGTCTACTTTATCTTTCTTTGCTCTAACTTTGCCTACATACAGGCTCTATTTGCTACATATTTCAGAGTGTCATATCTGCTAACCAGAACTACAGGTAAAATTCTTTTTGGCATATTATATGTCTAAATAAATGTTCCTGTCAGTGCCCATTCTGTTAAATTTAGTTCTTCTCATCACCATTTCGACATCTGCAACATAATGAAAATTTTCCAAGTAAAAAACTGATTTATTCCAAAAGATGTTTATAAAACTAAGAAGCTGTGAAAGAGAGCAAACAAACTTCTAGACCTACTGTATTCAGTTTGGAAATTTTCTTTGGTCAGTGGCAAAGTTGAAAATCCACTAAACTTGAAAAATGTCGACTCTTCTGAAGAGGAAATCCAGTCTTCTAGAAACTGTTTAATAATAAAACTTGTTTTGGTGTTAGTCTACTTAGACTATAAAATTTGGAGAACTCATGGAAGTGAGCATTATTCCTGATCTTACACATAGTCTTAGGGGCATATTTAAGGATTTGTGAGGAAGAGAGAGAAGCAAGGTTGCTCCTCACAGAGTTTGAATTGGAAGAGGCCTTAGTGTCCACCCTCATCCATGTGAGAGTCCTTTCCACACCACCTGGCAGCTTCTGCTTTCAACAGTGGTGAGCTTTATAAGGTGGCCTGTTACACGGGTGAACAGTGGTGATTATTAGAAGTGTTATTCTTTTGAACCAAAATCACAGATGGAGTGCAGATCAAGGGAGAGGTGAATTACAGCATGGGCAAGCCAGGCAGCATGACAAGAGGTAGATGGAAACTGTATGATCAGAGTCCCTGATGAAGGTAGGTCCAGGCTGGTGTTGCCTATAACTGAGTGTTAAATAATAAGTCATTTTAAAAAGCCCTTTTTTCTAAATATTAAAGGAGTGCCTATTAATTATGCAAAATGAAGAAAAGCACAAAAAAAGTGAAATTGCTTGTAATCCACCATCAAAAAATAACCACTGTATATTTCTCCTTTGCAACAGGCCTCACAGTTATGACAATACAGTATTTCTTTCCCAAGAGATGATTACCAATATGGATACAAAAGAAATAATATTTCTTCTAATTGTTCTGATCTTCATATTAACATGCCAGTCTTCTTTCATTCTACCATAAACCATGGTTCTACCTTTGTTTTAGAAATGGTAAACCTGTTAAGAGCTGTAGGAATCCAGATAAGAAATGACACCATTATCTTAAAGCAGGATTTTCCAAATAGGAATCCTGCCTCAGATTTCGCAAATAAATTTGGGAAAATATAAGCCCACCTTTCTTCAAGATTCATAATAAATTTTAGCATGTTAAACACTCAGTGATTCTGCTTTTTAAAAAAATCTGTTTAATAGTATTTAACTCAATGTTTTCAAAAAAAGAGCCATCCCGCACACACTAATGGGAGTTCCTGGGCAGCCTGTTTTAAAGCAGTAAACTGACACTGAGTGGCCTATTCTTGTCCTATTCTTTTCATTCCATAAAAACAAACCTTTTACTAAATTATTTTATTGCCTGTCATCATCACTATCATAAAATTCTCAGTTAATACAATTATCAAGTTGTGACTGTGCCCATAATATCCCATGGCAGGTAGGCCTGTTCATTACAGTTGGAAATGAAACCTGAATGAATCTTAAAAAGAAAAAAGAAAGATAAGTTGCCTTATTAAGATTTATTATTTTTATTCCAAACTTGAAGAAAAATGTAAGAAACAATAAAATACCCATGTGCTCACAACCTAGCTTTTACTTCCTGACATTTTGCTGTAATTGCATCAGATCTTTATGTGTGGGAGAGAGGATATTCTTAAATGAAACTCCACAGATAGACCCTAACCCTCTGAGTGGCATTCTTAACCCTCAGCTTTTCTTGGCTTTATGTGTTCTCAAGTACAGAATTAGCTTCAGCAGCACCAATCAAAATAAAGAGCATCGCCACAATCACCCTGACCTCAGTTACTCACTTAGTGATTTTTAAGGAGTGTAAAGGAAACCTTTTGTTTGCTTGTAGTGCTATCATTCACTTTTGAAGATTCACCAAGACCTCTATTTTCAAGAAGCTAATCTTTCTCCTTACCAGCCCAGTGTCATGACAGACTTTCCATAGAGGGTTGTTCAGCTATGCAGGCTTCCTTTTTCTTGGTGGCATTGTCCATTTTCAAATTTATTTTACCAGTTAGTTTGACTGATTTTGAAATACATCAAAAAAAGAGAGACAATTCAGTAGAATTTTTAATGTACCTGTTTCCTCCAACTCTAGAATGAAATTCTGTATTTTTGTCCTCTATGTGAAATATGTTGGTTGACATAGTTGTGAGTAAGATGTTTAGTTTAGTCACATATTCCCAATGTAATTTAACTGAGGCTCTGTATATTGTGTTGTGAGGACAGTGTTATCATGTGACATTTTTCCTCTATCCCTGGAAAATGAACACCAAAGGAGTTCTTAGATCAGGTTGTATCTAAGCAGGTCTTTCTCAAACTTGGTTCTCTTCTAGGGTGGTAGAAGAGGAGACACGACGGTCCCAGCAAGTTGCTCGGGATAAGCAGAGTCCCAGCCAGGCCAACGGCTGCAGTGACCACAGGCCCATTGACATCCTGGAGATGCTAAGCAGAGCCAAGGATGAGTATGAGAGGGTGAGACTGCGTGCTGACCGGGAGGACCAAAAGGGGAGGAGGAGTCCTACAGGGGGTTTGTGGACCGGAAAAGTCACCTCCTTGGTCAGCAGAAATAATTAGTTCAGGAAGAAAACATGTCATATAGTTTTAAGACAAAAGATAAGGAAAGAAATTTGCTTACATTAGAGTCTTTTGATTTAGCATGAAAGTTGAAAATGCATTTTTCTATTCCTGTAAAATTAACTGTAAGAGAAAACATTTTTAGTGTGCAAAAGTTAGTCTGCAACAGGTAGTTAAAAGCTTCATGCCCCCTCTTCACCCTCTGTAGTCTCTGCTAGGTCTTAGGAATTTATGTAGTCTTCAAACAGTATTCTGATAATTTGGATCCTATAATACGAAAGGGTATATTTATAGTCTGTAATTGGTAGTAAGTGCACAGCCTTCATTAAGCATCATCTGGAATTTTACTCAAATGAGAAGCTTAGTTTCTAGAATTCATTTTTTTTTGTTTTGTATTTTAGTTTAAAAGTTAGCCGATAAAACATTTTCTCCCCAAAGTTGAATAAAATGAAAGCTGTGAGCATTTGTTAATTTATTCATTGCATAATTATGAATTGTCTACTGTGTGTCAAGCAGTGGACATTTCCTCAGTGGTCCTCAAATCTTGTGGCTTTGGAACTGTCCTGGCTTTTCACTTGACATCAGCATTTCAAAGCTCCACACTTCATTGGAGTGAGACTGAAGGTTTCCACTGTTGCACTTTGTTTCAGCAGAATTATAATTGTCACCTTATTCTTTACTAACGTTGTGTTAAGTACATTCTTCTGCTTCTTGTTTAATGCTCACCTCACTAAAAGATCAAGGAATAAGGTGTAAAAAGCACTCTCTAAAACCCTATTTCCCAACTAGTTCTCTAACACTATCCTGTACATCAACAGGTGATCCTTGAGAAAAGGTTCCAGTCAGTCAAAGTTAAAGAAATCTTGTTAGCATGGCTCCTCCCCGTCTCCCCCATCTTCTTAGTGCTCAATACTCTGAGAGGTCTCACAATAAGTAAAACAGTAATACCAATTCCCAGATTGATTTGACTATAGGACCATTTTTCACATACACCTCTTTAAGAATCTAGAGTTCAAGGAACAGAGATTTCAAACAGTGTTCTGGAAGGTAGTTTCCTTTGACTAAAGAGTCATATTTACCATAAACTACAATGAACCTTCTACCTTCAAAAACCGAAGGAAGTCTGACTTCCTAGGTAAATAAGTATACAGTAGATAGAGCCCATGAGAAGTTTCAGGTTGTACCATATTCCTCAATGTATTGTAGAGAATTAGGAGGAATTTATGGATCTGTGAAAATTAGTGTAAGAAAAGCAATCATCTCTATGATAAATTCTTTGATTCTTAAGAAACTAGATAAGAATAAATTTCAAGAATCATTTTTCTGAACTTTTAGGTTACGTTGTATTTCCCAATTTCCCCTCTCATATTCTTAATGAGGTCTGGGTTATCTATATAGATGCCTTATTCTGTTTTTATAGAGGCCTTTCTGTGTTCTAATAACAGGTAACTAATAAGTTCAGGGCTCTGTCACCTGTTCTAGTGATGACTAGGTCAAGGTGCCACACAGGACAAAAAGTGTAGGTGTTGTTCACCAGAGCAGACACCCCAGGAGGTGGCCTGGCTTACTCCTTAGGCTGAGGAGTGAACAGCCACAAAATGAAAGAAGGAACTTCAGCCACAAAATGGAAGAAAGAACTTAAGCCTTGTTTTTGTGCACAAAGCTGTAAAGGAACTCTAGGACAAGTGGGCAGTCTAAAAACCTGACATGATTTCTCATTAATTACACGTTGCAAAAATAAGAATATAGAGAGTACAGTAATTGCTATTGTAATGAAAATTCTTCAGAATAAATCAAATGTTTCGTATGCTTAGATTAAAACTAAACCTTTGGGAATTTAGTTAAATCTTTGATATTTACTTTATAATTTGTTCTTTCTGTTTTTGAAAATTATGAATAAGTAGAGCTTCCTTAAACAACAGTTTTATTTCTTGTCTTCATTTGGCCTATCAGCTAACCAAATGGAGTTGGTATTTAGTAGCGACCCATGATTTCATATCATAGTGTTTAGATGGGCTCTCCTCAGCTGCTGCATGGTTCCAGATGGCCACTTTGTTTATCTTTAGGTAGAGACTTGGGAGACTTACAGAGTAAAGGGCAGGGATGCAAGCTAGGCTGCAGGGATGGGATTTAATTCCAATTCTAAATCTCTTCTGTCTGGTGTATATAATATCATGAATGAAATTCCATACTTTTGAGTGAGGGGCTTATTTATAATAGAGACTGTTTGTACATAAAAACTCTATAATAAACAGTTTTTCCCCAAGTTCTACAGTTAGTTTTAACCAACTTTCCTCTTTTTACTGTGAAGAAAGAGAGCTGAAACTAGAGTCCTTTACAGTTGGCCCATTCTGGGTTGCTTCCAGCCATAGGATGTAGTCCTAGATTTTGGTAGGGATTGTTTTTGTTTGTTTGTTTGTTTGTTTTAATTTAATTGCAAAAAAATTTTTTTACCCCAGACTTTTTTTGTCCTTAAAAAAATAGCGCCATTATTTTTCTTATGTGAGCAGTACATATTAATTATAGAAAATTTTATATTTAAAATTACAATGAAAGAAAAAAACATTATTTTACTACCTAGAGATAATCACTGCTAATGCCTTGTTATATATTCTTTTAGAAATATGTATAAAAATGTCCCAATGTGTGTGGTGTATTTGTATATGCTAGTTTTATTAACTAGTTTTAAAAGTTCTTGCTAACTCTTTTGTAACCTGTTTTTATCCAAAGAACAGCATCTTTTTATGATAGTGGCTACACAGGGAGTCCCTGTGAGATTTCATTTGGTAGAATAAAAGTTTTTTAAAAAAATCATTGTGATGTCAATAGCTACATATTTTTCCTTCTGTGTCTTATATAAACAATACTGTAAATTTTTCTGATTCTTTCTATTGAGAACTCAGAATATATATCCTTGTAGCTAAGTCATCACATACATTTTCTCTCTGAAGATATGTTACTTGAAATGGAATTGGTAGATCAGAGGATTTTGACATTTTAAAAAATGTGTTGCCATTTACGCATTGTTTTTACCAAATATTGTAAAATTTCCCTCCAGAAAGTTTGTCTGTGATTGTCCTCACAAACACTGGAAACTGTCATTAACAAACAACTCAGAAAAAATCTTTCAAGAATGGCCCTGCACACATATGAAAAAATATTTGAAGTTCCGGAGACCTTTAAAAATACAGCCCATCTCGTAGATCATGTTGAATTAAGTATCGCAGACTCAAATGCCCCCAAAACAATATGGGCCATGGTAGTACCTACAGAGGGCCACAGTGGAACCGATACAGAGAGCTTGTCACTGTGTCAAAGGATCAGTTGCGGCTCACCTCCAGCCAGTTGTTGCCAAATGAGCTAGTTCCCAAATTATCCAGCTTCTCTCTGAAAATGACAAGCTGAGTTTTTATGTGAAAACTCCTAATCTTTAAAATGTCTGAAACATTTTATAATAGAAAAAATGAAATGTCTGAAACATTTGAATAGAAAAAATGCATATTTTTCATTTAACATTCGGTACCCTGTGCTAAGCACATATTTATAGTGCGGTATCAAGAAAATTCATCTGTCTCTGCACTGAAGTTTGGAGCCTTTTTTTTTTAATCTTGAGTATTCTAAACCGTATTTGGTATCCATTTCGACATGGATAATCTTCATCACATAGATGCTGTATCAGATTGCCCAAATAGAACCTAAGTTTCTAAAGTTTTATAATTCCATCTCCATCTAGTGATTATTTTTTTAGGGTTATCTTTAACACCTTTAGTGTTATATACAAGGTAACAGGAATTTTAAAACATTTTACAACTATTTCATCATCTGTAATTGTGATAGACCTAAAATTTAGTTTAATTTTTAAGAGTATATGGTGATTTCAACAAATGGTATTGGGAACAATTGGCCATCCATATGCCAAAAAAAAAAAAACCACTAAATTTAACACCTTATACAAAAGTAACTCAAAATGGATCATAGATCTAAATGGAAAACATGAAATTATAAATTTAAAAGAAAAATATATTTACTGTATGACCCAGAAATACCACTTCTGGGTATTAACTCTAGAGAAATGAAGCTTTTGTCCACACAAAATCTGTACGTGAAAGTTTATAGAAATTGTCTTTATAATAACCAAAAACTGGAAACAGTGCAGATGTCCTCCTGTGGGCAAATGGCCAAACAAACCGTAATGCAGTCATACAATGGAATATTACTGAGTACTGAAAAGGAATGAACATTAATACCAATCAGCAGCTTGGATGACTCGCAAAGGCATTATGCTAAGTGAAAGAAGCCAGAATTCCATTTTTTATGACATTCTTAAGACAAACCTATAGTGATAGAACAGATCACTAGTTTCCAAGAATGGAGGGAGGACATGACTACTGCGTGACACAGTACAAGGGAGATTTTGGGGGTGATAGAGCTATTTTATATCCTGATTATGGTGATGGGTACACAGGTAGAACTCTATACCCCAAAAAAGCTTAGGTTTACTGTATGTTAACTTAAAAAATAAAAAATAACTTTCTTTTATTGTATCTATATGAGAAGATGGATATTAGCCAAAACTATTGTGCTAATCATTTCACAATATATGTAAATCAAATCATCATGTTGTACACTTTAAACTTATACAGTGATGTATTGTCAATTATTTCTTAATAAAACTGATGGGAAAAATATTTTAATGGAAAAGAATATGTAATGAAGTAGTATCATTGGCTTTTCCTTAAAAGGGTTATTAAAATAACAATTGTTGCTGACGCCATTGTCTAAAATCAAGTGCTCAACTTGCTAGAAATTTTATTATATAAGGTACTTACATGAGGGTCTAAAGCAAAACATTTTGGGATATTGTTTTATTTTTTAAAATAGCATTTCTGATAACCTCAAATGCTATTTTGTGAGCCAAATAATAGACAGCAAACTTTTTCACATGATATACTTTTCATTTAAGAATCAGATGGGCGACTCAAATATCTCCAGCCCTGGGTTGCAGCCAAGTACTCAGCTCTCCAATCTGGGAAGCACCGAGACTCTAGAAGAGATGCCGTCCGGGTCACAAGATAAGGTTTGTATGGCTAAAGCCCTAGCTTTGTCCAAGATAACAAAACACAGAGTAACATTTTGTAAGGATTTTAATGCAGTACAAGTTTGATTTGTCATTTATCTGTCATGATACCTACAGACAACAACGTAATGACATCCACTCGTGTTATTTTCCCTGGCCTATGTAACTGTCACTATAGTTTAGTCTTTCATCTGAATTTTGTACTAGCCTCCTGTCTGGTTTCTAGCTTTTGCCCTCATTACTCCCTTTCTTATTCTTAACCCAGCAGCCAGAGTAATCCTGGTAAAACGTAAGTTATATCTTGGCATTCCTCTGCTTAAAACTCCAATGGTGTCCCATCTCACTCAAATAAAAGCCAGGGTCTTGACAGTGGCCCACAAGGTCCTACATGCTCTGGCCCCCTATCCCTGGTCTCATCTTCTACCTCTCTTCCTTGCTCACTTGGCCCCAGTCTCACTGGATCTTTTGCCTTTCCACAAATGTGCCAGACTTGCTCCTGCCTTGAGACACGCCTTTACACTTATTCCCTTGTCCTGAAATACTTTCCTCCCATATATGGCTCACTCCCTTCCTTCAGGTCTCAGGTATCCTCCATATATGTGAGACCTTCCCTGACCACCCTATTTTAAATAACAATCCTTCACTACCCCTGTCCACTGTGCTTTATTTTTTATCTAAGACCTCGACCCAGATAACATGGTTTTGTGGTTTTCTTACATATTCGTTGTCTCTCCTCCTTATAGCTGTGTTCTCAGCATCTACTATTAAACATATTTGTTGGCTGATTAGTTTTCTTTATAACTGATAGCTTGGTAAGTGAAATGCAAATAAAAAGTAAAACCCATAGCATTTTAATTAAACTTTTAATTTTGAGATAATTATAGATTCTCAAAGAAATAATACAGAAAGCTCCCATGTACCTTAACTTATTTCCTCACTGATAACAGCTTGCAAAATATAGTACAATATTACAACCAAGATATTGATACAGTCTACCCACCTAGTTCACATTTCCTCTGTTTTACTTTTATTGATTTGTGTGTGTGTATAAGTGTATATATGTAGTTCTTTGCAGTTGTATCTCATGTATATAGCTTTGTATCCACTACCACAGTTAAGATACAAAAGACTTCCATCACCACAAGGATCCTATGTGTTGCCCTTTTATTATCACACTGACTTCCCCGTCATACCCTTCCTGCCTTCCCCGCTCCTCTTACCCTTAACCCCTAACAGCCACTCATCTGTCCTCAGTTCTATAATGTCATTTCAAGAATGTTATATGAATGGTATTATACAATATAACTTTTTAGGATTGTCTTTCTCAACTCAACATGATTCCTGGAGATTCATTGAATTGTTATGTGTATCTGTAGTTTGTTACTTTTTATTGCTGAGTAATGTTAACACTTTTAACCATTCACCTTTTGATGGACATCTGGAGTTTTAGTTTTGAGCTATTACAAATAAAGCTTCTATGAATATTTATGTGCAGCTTTTTGTACATAAATTTCTCTTTCTCTGGGAAAAATGCCCCAGAATGCAAATGTTGGGTCATTTGGTAATGGCATGTTTTAATTCAATAAGAAACTGCCATACTGTTTGCCAGAGAGGCTGTACTGTTTTATATTCCATCAGCTATGTTTCCATATTGTTTTGATGTATTTAGATAATTAATTTAAACCAGATTTTGTATACTACATTCCTACACTCCATTTTTACTGTTTGTATTTAGTATTTAGGATCCTGAAGGTCAAATATATATCAAAAGCTGTGCTATGTAAAATCTAATTTTTAAAAAAATACATGTTGAGAGAGGGAAGAAAGGAAGGCTCAGGGTCACTAGATTCCTTCTCTGGTCTAGTTTATCAGCCATGAGTGTTCAGTGGGCCAGTTACTTCCCCTTTCCTTTCTGAATCACGGGGTCGGGATTCTTGCATTGTCTCATTCAGAGTTATTGTAAGACCCAAATGAAGAATTAGACCCCCCAAAATGCCTAAAAAATCATAAAGCACTGTTTATCAAAAGATGAAAGATGAGTGTGGCAAGTCATGGGTGCTTAGCCCTTCAAAAGAAAGCACTGGTGATGGATCTGTGGACATACATAATGCAAGTGGTAGACACTCAGAGAATTGTACCCTCTAATGCAAATAGTGGTGATTAACTAAAATTAGTTTAAATCTGTATTCAGCACCTACACAGATAGTACATTTGTTTAGTAGCACTGCCATCTGGTGCTCAAGAGCAAGTAATGCTGTCAAGCCTTGATAATATCCCATTTGTTTCATAATTCACTTATTCAAATTTCCTTAGGACTCTTTCCAAAGGTTTTGTTTTTCCTGTGGTTAAGAATATGCATACTTTCTAGTGTGTTCAGTGCACTGACCAAGTAGGAAATCTGACATGGACACAATAGGTCCAGAGAGAAATATGAAAGTCTCTTAACAGCAAGAACTGTGGGATGGAGAAGGAACAATGTAAAACCTGATACAATTAGAATTTTGTTGTGCACAATATATGCTGCTGCTCACTGAATTCCATTTCGAAGGGAAATGGTCAGACTAACACTCGATTTAAATCAAGTGAGGCAGCACAAAACTCAGAATCCAAACTTTAAGCATATTCAGATATGAGGGAAGAATAAAATTTCACCTCCTCTATGGATGATGAAAGATGAATCCATGAGTAAATTAGCCCAACTACTAGAGGAGTGTAACCAGTTTTTCTTGCCATAGGGTCCTCTCAGGTGCAAAGACTGTAAAGCTTTAGGGAGCTTGTGTAGAAACCTATGCTCTACTTAGCTTCTTGTGACTATTTTAGCTGGTTACATATTTTCAGATATTAGTACATTTTGACCTATAACCACCTGTTAGTTATTCAAGCCTTAGCTGCACCTCTATTTTCCAGAGGTCAATATCACCATTTAGTTCATTAGGTAACCTGTAATCGGCCTAATTGACATCTCAATATGGCAGCCTTATGGTGAGAACTAGATTAAAGTCTGGTTCTGTTGTCATATTTGGGCATCATCTATAAAATGGCAATAATAGTGGTACTACCCACATCAATTAATAGAGTAATGCATGTAAAGTCCTCCCATTTAATGAGCGTTGTGTCTACGAATAACTCTATTGCTATCACAACTTCATTTATTCCTTCTTATGGGAGATGCATCTGAAACCCTAATGCTTTACCACACACCCTATTCCAGAGAAAGTGTAAGAATCTGCTTCTGGCCTGGCAGAAGTATAAGGAGGCAGCATTGGGAAATCTGGAAACTTTCCACCTCTTTTGCAGTCCAGGTTCAGGGTTCTACCATACGGTTTCATCTTTTAATATGAAGTCGACTTTAAACCATTAGAAATATCTATTTTTAAGTATAAGTATAAAAATGTTCCACATGTAAATGTGGGTAATTTTAATTGTTCAAAAGTTGATTGATGGTCCCGCCAAACAGGTAAAAATTGCTACCTGGATCATGCCATTTTTGAAGCCTAAGGTGTATTTCATGGTCAGGCTTCTCCGTGTTTTTTGTTTGATTGCTCCTTTTCTTATAACATAAAAATAGTATTCTTACCTGGAAAAGACTCTTAAGTTTCTGCAAAATGGCCCCATTATGTTCTGTTTTTTTAAAGCAGTTATATCTAAATGTTGGTTTCTGTATATACATACATATACACATGTATAAAACAGAATGTGGTGGTTAAAATCTACATAATTTGCATTAATGAATAAAAATTTGTGTCATTTTCCAATACTTTTTTGCCAAGCAATCTTGATCATTTTGTTCTAAACATACTGTGTATAAAAAGGAATTAATCCAACGCAAAATGGGCAAAGGACTTAAATAGACATTTCTACAAATCAGATACACAAATAGCCATTCAATATGGAGAAATTAAACCCTCTTGCATTGGTGGTAGTAATGTAAAATGGTGCAGCAACCATGGAAAACAGTTTGACAGTTTCTAAAAAAGTTAAATGTAAGCAATTCTGTTCCTGGACATATACCCAAAAGAATTGAAAGCAAGGACTAAATGTTTACACTAACATTCATAGCAGCATTCACAATAGCCAAAAGGTAGAAACAACCCAAATATCAGAAGATATGGATAAACAAGATGTGGTGTATGCATACAGTGGGAAGTTATTCAGCCTTTAAAAGAAATGAAATTCTGATACATGCTACAACATAACATGGATGAACCTTAAAAACATGCTAAGTAAAATAAGCCAATCACAAAAGGACAAATGTTGTATGCTTCAATATATATAAGTTACCTAGAATAGGCAAATTCATAGAAACAGAAAGTAGAATTGAGATTCTCAAGGGCTGTGGGTTGGACGGTGCAGGGAGAAGAAAAGATGGGGAGTTGTTTAATGGGTACAGAGTTTCTGTTTTGGTTGACAAAAAAGTTTTAGAAATAGATGGTAGTTACAGAACATTATGAATGTACTGAATACCACTGAATCTTACACTTAAATATGGTTAAAATGGTAACTTTTGTTAAGTACATTTACCATTATATTTAGAAACCAGGCTGAGGGGATTATCTCTCTGCTCATCAATAGACATTTGATGCCAAGGATCCGAAAGTGAATAGATCACAGTGTTCAGCTCGGGAAATGCATTCTACTACAGTTTATGCGGCCTGGACAGAGAGAGAGAGAAGTCTCTTTCAAATGAGAATTCATTGTCTATTTTGAATTATATTAAATGAATCTGAAATGTTACCAGTGAGTTTTAGACAAACAGCTATGTCTGTAATGACTCCTTACATCAGAGAGTAGCAGGTTTGTTTTTAATAGCCCATCAAATGGTATTATTTTGCATTATGGGGATATGATATTTCATAGGATTTGATGAATTTTTAATATCCCAACATACTATTTGATGTTCCTTAAAACATATCCAAACACAGATTTATCATGATTGCTATCAAAACTATATGATGTTTATATGATGATAGCCAATTCCATTTATTGAATGCTTGTTCGGCATCAGACATTATATTGAGAATTTAATTTTCACAACAGCTCTATAAGGTAATTACCACGGTTGCCCCCATTTTTCAGGAGAGAGAACTAAATAGGTTATGTATTTTCTCAGTTAACAGCTGGGAATTGAACCTAAGTATCTTTGATTCCAGACCCTAAGCTCTAGTTTTTTTCAGAAGTAAAAATATTTTTCAGAGGAAATTAAACCATATAAAATCTTTGCATTTCTTTACATCCAAAGTTTATAATTAGAAATTACTGCTGCCTTATATTTGAAGTGAGATTCTGAATCTGGAAGATTCCTTAAAGTACCAGAAAGCGTTGTCACAGGATAGTTTTACTACGGCATTATTAGTGGGGGACCTAAATTTGCCATTTGAGAATTCCTTAACTTAAACCTCTTGTCACATTTATTTACCAACATATTATTTTAGGTTTCAAATATTAATAGAATTCTCTTCATTGAATATTTTTAAAGATAAAATGCATTGATATGAAATTACAATTTTTTTTCAACTGGAGGAGGCTTTTGCCTCTTATTCAACAACAGTTGCCTGTGTTCTCCTCAGACTTGCTCTGCCACCTCTCACCAAACAGATATGCTGTCCTCACCAGAGAAAAAATACACATTAGCCCTCCTATAACTTTCTGCCCCTCACATGTAAACTGCCCTGCATCCTCTGTCCTCGGTGCTAGCCTCTTTTTCCTGTTGTGGCTCCTTGACAAAAGGGGATCCCTATCCTCCTCCCCTTAAGAGCCTGCTGCCAGTAAGGCCCTTCCTTTCTTCATACCCACTCATCACAGCACAATGTCCCTGGCACTTGGCAAACTCAATAATTATTTGTCAAATGATTGAAACAAACATTTGCCTGGGGAAAACTGAGCTCATTTTCCTGTAGAAATGTGATTGTAACATAGTACTATCACGATTATACTTCAGATACAATATACTGAAAGGCCTTTGTAGACTTTCTGAGGCCCTGAAAATCATGTTTCAGTGAATTGTTTTTTTCCATATAAACATACCTGAACATTAACTAGTTCACCCACTTTAGGAATAAACGCATAAACTGAGGCTGCCTGTGAACATAAGCTCTGTCAAAATAGAGCTTTTTTTGTTACTCCCCACTGTGTCCCTTAGGCCCAAGTCAGAGCAGGACCTGGCGCCCTGTAGGTACTCAGTAAATAGAGAGGTTGAACAAATAGGCAATACTGCATGGAGGTGCAGGAAAGCTCATGGGTGGAAAGCACAAATAATTCGCCTTTAAATCATTGCAGTGATATTAGTAAGCCGGATCAGTAAGATATATGTAAATTTAACATTTGCAGGCTTAAATGTTTTGCCTTTTCTTAGGGGTTCTGTGATTTGGGAGTAGAAAGGAGGAATGGCCTGCTGTTTTTTAAAAAATGGTTCCATTTATTTTCTGATATTTGAGACCCAGTCGTTGAGGTGCCATGCCTAGCTTTTTATCAAGAACAGTGAAAATAAAGGTAGGATTACTTGATCAGCTTTTGGTCCCTTTGTTCT